AGGATGTGCTCGACGAGTCCAAGGCGTCCTACGCGTACGTGCGCGTCGCGTATTCAAATGACAAGGAGGTGACGGCATACGCGCTTTCCACTACCGGCTTCCTAATCAACGCCAGCTAATCTTGCGCAGTCCCAGCGCGAGAAGTTCATTTTCGTCAAGTGGATCGGCAAGGGATGCAAGGTCATGAGGAAGGCAAAGGTGAGCTCGTTGCTTCATGTTTAGAAGCTACCTCGACACGCGTGGACTCTTAATTTATATCTACACGCCGTGCCATAGCTATCCGTGCAGGCAGCGGATGTGAAGAGCGTCCTCCGCGCATTCTCGATCGAGGTGACCGCTTCTGAGAAGGATCAGCTCGATGAGGAGGGTGTCATCACTCGTTTGAGGAAGGTGCGTTTTTAATAATGCCTTTATCGATTTATTGTGCGTACAACCATTGATTTCCGCTATGATCAGGCTGGCGGTGCATCATATGATGGTGTATAGAAGTTATTTTGGCCTCAGTCGGCTATTTTGTGTATATGTCACTTCAGCACTTTCTCTTTTCTTGGGCTATCAGCATAGTAATACTTGGGTCGCGTGGATAATAAATCGATATCTTGTCTAGTCAAAAAGATGAACCTTTCTACGAGTCGTCTCCAATTCGTTTGTGATATTGGACAGACTTCGTTCTTCTGATGCTTCCGGTAGAGATTTGTCACAAACACCAAAGTTTCCCTCGGGTATTCCCACCTTGCACTCTTCCACTAATCTAATAGGCGGCTTAAGCACACCTTCCGTCGTCAAGACCCACGTCCTGAAAGGAGCAAAAAATTAGATCAACGGCGAAAATAATGTATGAAGGACGCGCTCGACAGCCCACCCCCAATAGATCCCCAGCGCTTTCTTCGCGCGAACGTCCTGGAAAACGCGCACGCTATCCTGCGGTGCGCAGTGAATGGGGGACATGAAGTCGCGTGGCTTGTACGCGCTGTCGACGGTGATGAATCTTAGACACATCAAACCCCGCGAAAAAAAGACAAACCCAATCGGAATCATGGCGAAGTCAAACCCGCCCCATCGCGAGCCAATCTCTTTGAACGCAGGACAGGTCGGCAAGGCGTCCTCGTCCTCGTCTTCCTTCCTCCCGCTCACCGTGCAGTAGCCAGTGTCGCCCGCGAAGTACACCTTCACGCCCTCCAGCGTCTTCTCAGAGTTTACTTGCGTCCCCGTGAAAAGCAGGACCAGCGGAAGGGGAGGGAGTGGGAAGAACTTCCTGGATGACCCAGCTCGCCCATAAGCTCTTGTAATGGTCGCGCATGCTGCGGCCGGACTTGTGCTGCGAAGGCGTACAGGTCACGTCGAACGCAACTTTCATATCCTTGTCGTCCCTACTGCCGCTCACTCCATCCAAAGCGACCTCAACGCGGCGGCCTTCCCACCAGTGAAGCGTGTGGACTTTCTCGCTTGGTAGGCCAATGGATCGGAAGTACGCTTCATTCCCGAGCGACGCAAAAATGTGCGGTGGTCGGGCGCGTTGAGCGAGTGTGGTTATGGTATGTGTGTCAAGGCTACAAGATCCATATGTCATCTTAAGATATATGGAGTAGCATTAAGAAAAGAAGTCACTGGTCATAATGATTGTGCTAGGTATTCCAAGTGCTTATAAGCGGGGATTCAGACTGCAAGAGAAAGGATCGCCTACAGAAATAACAACCGCGTCGACTTCCGGGATCTGTTCGATCTCGCAAGGAATTTCTTGGGCAATTTCAGCGCTATGGTAGATCTAAAACAATCTCAGTGTAACTCACTAGTAAACCTGCTCGGCCCGATGTACTGGCTCAGAGAGCACCTGCCGCTGAACACCGGGTCGAATAAAATCCGAGCGCCGCGAGACGGTGGCGGCGATTCCGACCGGTGCACAGGCAGCTCTATGAGGAAGCACGCGTGCCCGAGCTACGTCGCTTTGATCTTTGCCTCCTTGTTTCCTTCTTCAAACGCGTTATCGTCTGAACGCAAGGAAGAGGAAGGCGGCTTCGGACCCCAAGTCGGGACGACGCTGGGAAGCCGTGCGTCGATGTCTTCAGGGATTACAGGTGCATTTGCAAATTGGTTGCGGAACATCTTAAGTTAGAGATAGATGTACGCCATTTAGCTCCCGATGGTTGGTGTCTTTATTAAGTTGGAAATCCGCTTACTTTCAACACTTCCCAAAAGCTGTGGTCGTGAAAGCTCAGCCATGGGTTGCGGAAGTGGGTTCCGCGATCGTTCACCCAGTGCGCGGGTCTCTCGCCGCCGCGAGATTCAGAGACGGCTTTCTGTCTCTGGGCCTCTTCTGTAGTAGTGAAGACGCGTATATGGTCGGGTTCCTTTCTTAAAATCATATCTTCTGGGAATTCGGGTCCAAATGGCGGTCGTGAAGCACGGTTATTGTCGAAAGGTATGCAGAACGGTGAGCTGTGGGAGAAAGCCGAAGCTTTGAAATTATAGGAGGGGCGAGAGCAAGTGTTGTTCAGAGCTCGTGCATAACGATCGACAATATTTCGAAGTGGGCATGAAAGCAGGGATTTTATAGCCCTTACGCGCACCCGTCCTCGAGCATCCGAGACACGTCGTTCATTCCGCCGCCAGGTTGGGGCCGCACTATCGTTCGCAGTTTAATGACCAAACCGACCTCATCTTCCAAATAGCAGCGACGCAGCAGTCTGAGACACCAGCGCGTCGCGGGGACGTATCTCGGACTGCCATAGGCACGGCATACGACGTCATTCGGCTTGCCTTGGGAGCCCCCCTTATGTTCAACGGATAATAGTTCCAGAGTGCTCTGCGGCATCAATATCAACGCGAAAGACGCTTGAAGCGTTGTGAAGTCATATCTCAGGCCGTGTCGGCACAGCGTGCGACAGTCGTTCGGCCTGTCGGATTAACCCTGAGTACAGTGAAAAATTGCTCGAGATTTGCGTCGTTATCGAGGATAGCATCCAATCGCAAGCAGCGATTCAGTGTAATCAATTAACGGCGATGCAAGCAAGGCAGGCGCCTACAATAAGCACATAAGGGAACGACAGGTGCTTCAGTTAATGATGGTAGGTAAACGAGGTATTCTGTCTGAGTTGCTTTGGGACAGATACACTTATTGACAGACGGAAGACGATCCCAGACCAAAAGTAAATGAACCCTGTTTTAGATAGCGCGAATTTTATGTTCAACGTCCAACGTCCTTGTCGGCCAAATCACGAAATCTTCAAAGTCATTGCAGAGTTGTCCCTCTCGAGTCCAACCGATTGATGCAGTAGAAGAAAGCCAAAAGAAAACGAAGCCGAGCAATTTTCAGACGACAGTTTCCCTTCTCTTGAAAATTTGTTGATAACAGTCTTAGCACAATGAGCAGAACTTCCTCTCACTGGCCTGTCTAACATCAAACCCGATTCAAGAGCAACAGCCATCGATGGTAGTGGTTCGAGGACGAGTCTGAAACTATACAGTTTCACCCGTCACACGCTTGCCCTTTATAGGCAACACCCGAAAACTCTATGCCGCTCCCACGCTCCTGAGGCCGCTAAACCTCGACCTCGACGACCTCGACGCCGCCCACCGCGTCTGTGCCCCAGACCCCACAGGACGACCCCCAACCACTCCAGCATCGACCATGGACCCGATCAAGCTCGCGAAGCTCCAGAAGCAGGCGGCGAGCAACCGGATCGGTGCGTCCCTTTATGTTTTTCTCTAATAAAAAAAGGCATGCGGGCGACGCGGCCACGCTCCGGCGGAGCGCGGAGCGATGCGCTGCTGAAACTGACGCGGGACGTGTGCCTTCTTATGCTGTGCGTGTGTGTGTGCAGGCGGCAAGGGCTCCGTGCGCCGCAAGGTTGTCAGGCCCACGAAGGCCTCAACCGCGCAGGACGACAAGAAGCTGCAGGGCGCACTCAAGAAGTTGAACGTGCAAGCCCATTGCGGGCGTCGAGGAGGTCAACATGTTCCGGGAGGACTGGGAACGTGCTCCACTTCACCGCGCCGAAAGGTACGCCCCCACCTTCCCCTACCCCCGCCTCTTCCCGCGCGCGGGTGCTGACCGCGCCGCAGTACACGCGGCTGTCCCCGCAAACACGTTTGCGATCTACGGCGCGGGCAGCGTGAAGGAGCTCACAGAGCTCGTGCCGGGCATCCTCAATCAGCTCGGGCCGGACTCGCTCGCGTCGCTGCGCAAGCTCGCAGAGTCGTACCAGGCGATCCAGGGCCAGCAGCGGCCCGGCGCAGGGCGGCGCGCCTGAGGCGGACGACGACGACGACGTGCCCGACCTCGTCGAGAACTTCGAGGTCGAGGACCAGCCGGCGAAGCTGGAGAAGGGCGGTGAGCTGGAAGAGCTCAACTAGCGCGCCGCGCGGCGGCGGCGCTGCTGTCTGTCTGTGCCGGGCCCTGCGGCATGCGGCGGAAGGGGGCGGGTGTGATTTGTGTACCAAAATGAAATACGAAAGGGCAGAAGGCGGCGTTGGTGATTTGGTGTGGTGTGGTATGTGTCCGAGCAGCCTCTGTCCCTGTCGATGTGCAGTGGTGATCTTATACTATCATTAAACATCCTTTCCTCCCGCCATGCTCCCCGTCCGCATCAAAATGTCTATTTCTCACCTGTCCATTGTGTCATTTTTTTGCCTCAGCTGTTCACACTGTTATATGACCATGTCTGCAATACTTTACAATGCATCCATATCACACACTGATGCAACCTCTGATTTCGTTTACATCACTGTTAGAAGACCTTGTCAGCGTGCAAAACAGAAAAGAAAGTCGCAACAGGCCAACTCAGCCCAAAAGGACAATCGATAGTTCACACCGTCGCTACTACACGTCGAGAAACTGAACCCATAAAAGCTTTATTGTCATGCTAGTGTCTGATAAAATCCAAAAAAACTTCCGGCTATCAGGTTCTCGTTGAGGTTCGAATGCGTTCAAAAGTGTACTCTGCGTGCCCAAAGAATCTTTTCGGCCAAGTTGACAGCAAAATGACATGAGAAAAAGGTATCTGCCCCACTGAGGCTTGAACTCAGGACCTTGTGATGTCTAGATAAACGAACAATTGCTTATAACAGTCACACGCTCTAACCAACTGAGCCATGGGGCACTTTAATACTTAATTATTTTATGTCTCCTCAAGTGGTCAAACTGTCTCAACAATCACTTCAAAAATCATCTGTGAGTACAGATTCTATAATACTTTCAGCTAGAGTAGAAATATGAGAACACTGTGCTATGCTGCAGACTGTCATCCACAGTGACCCAAGTTACCATGAGTGAGAAGTGTCATGTTCACATTCCCGCTTTCCTTTGCAGCTCCAGCCCTCTCAGAGACAGAATGGTAGCTCTGGCTTGTATGACTGGGTTCTGTTCACTGAATCAGTTAAAAATAAAGGATAGTACTAGTTTATGATGCAGCTGCTAGGGACATTCAGGAGTATTTATATCTTTCTCAACTCCAACTGCCTTGGTCCTCATCAGGACTAGCTATATACCAAATTGCAATTCTGATTTCTTGAAGATGAGTAACTCTATGGATGACAGCTGACTATACCTAAGCTTTATGGTGGTCCAGGATACTGAAGTGAGCACCTTGCTCAGCATCTTGATAGTTCACACGAAATCACAGCATATGTGCTGCTGGCACATTTGGGAATTGAATGGGGGTGGAGGCCAGTGTCAAGCTGACCTTGGTGGAACTACGAGCAAGTATCTCGGAAGCCATAGTGTGCCTGGCCAGAAGCCAATAAAATTACTCTGGCTCTTCCTCACCATATATGTATGTTATTGGGAGAAATGATGATGCTCTTTTCTGCTAGTGAGGCCTCAGGGTGCAAGTACGTGTGAGGCCCAATTATAGAAACATTAAAAGATGGCTTTCCTTTTGCCGTCCCCATCCTCTTTGCGACACCCACACTGCACAGTGGAAGCCACTAAAACAACTACAATGTTCTATGGACAGCTCGGCAGGAGGGATCTCATAATTTCATATCTAACTGATTCAAGCTATAACTGAAATGGAGTACACTGCATAGAAAGAAAATACAATGGAACAGAGATATCAGGTAAATTCCAGGTGAGTAATCCTCTTTTGCACTAGCTTGAGGCTTTCTTTCTCATCATGAGAAAGTATACCAGAATGCTTCTGAAAAATAGGGACAGCTTTTCTGGCTATCTCCAGAGCCTTACTAAGCTGACCAGTTACTTCCAAAACATCAGAGTATGTTTCAAGAGCCAATCCAAAATCTGTATCATATTCTTCAAATTGCTTCTCCTTCAGAAGAGACTCAAAAAGTGCAATAGATTTCTGAATATGGTCTATAGTCTCTGCATGTCTTCCCAGCTTTAAAAAGCTGCAGGATAGGCCATATAGGGAAACAGCAAGATCAGGATTGAACCTGTCTGGGTCTTTCTCAGAAAGAACCTGTCTGATGGTGACTGATTTCTGGATAGCCCCTAGTGCCTCCTCATGTCTGTCAAGTTTTGACAAGCAAACAGACAAGCTCTGAAGAGAGACTGCAAGATCAGGATTGAACCTGTCTGGATCTGTCTCTGAAAGAGCCTGCCTGATGGTGACTACTTTCTGCATAGCTTCCACTGCCTCCTTGTATCTGTCCATATTTGACAGGACAAAAGACAATTGGTAAAAAAAGGATGCAAGAATAGGATTGAACCTGTGTTGTTCCTTCTCTGGAAGTGCCTGCCAGATGGTGCCTGCTTTCTGGATAGCCTCCAGTGCCTCCTTGTGTCTGTCCAGCTGTCCAGTTATGACAGGTCAAGAGACAAGCTGTAAAGAGAGTCTGCAAGATCAGGATTGAACCTGTCTGGGTCCTTCTTTGAAAGAGCCTGCCAGATGGTGACTATTTTCTTCAGAGCCTCCAAAGCCTCCTTGTGTCTGTGTGGGTTTGTATTCCAAAGATGTTGCAACAAATATAGTATCTAGATTTTAAGTCCAAGTTATAGTAGACTATAAGCAGGTAAACACGAGTTAACAATTCTGCTGTTCCCTGGTGGCCAGGGCCCAGCATATATACATGGCAGCTATTATTAGAGACAATAGTTTACTATAGTTTACAACTATATTTTGCAAGCAAAGTGAACTGTGCAAAGGAGCTGACACACAAACCAGCTTCTATGAGCTTATATGCAATCTAGTTTCAGTGTTGCTACAAACTGCTGTGCAAAGTAGCTTCCATGCAAATCAATTTCAGGGTTGATGCCTATTTGTTGACATCATCCTCCTTAGCTAAGCTTATGTCATGAGGCATGACACTTTAACAGGATAATAAGGCCATGAAGAGAGACTGCAAGAACAGGATTGAACCTGTCTGGGTTGTTATCTGAAAGAGCCTGCCTAATGGTGAGTGTTGAAATGACGAGCTCGATCGTTGCGTCATTTTTTTGTTTATTTGTTTCTTATCAGCCCATATAGTATAAGTAGTGCCGTGCATGTACTTTTCCCCTTATCCGTTTGCCTCAGAGCTCAGCAGGTCAAACGTGAATTCATTTGCTTTTGTCTACGTCTCATGGCACTAAGCTACCGAAACTACAACACAAACGGATTGCCTCGCTTGAGGGTCACATCAAGTAGCCTTGTGGGGCTCAGACCACAAAACCAGTCAACGGGACTGTAAACCGGACGACACGGTCACTGCGCGTCGCGGACGGCACACCGGAATCTGCAGGCTGTGGGCCTTACAGTCACTGCTGCGGCACACCGGTATCTTATCTACGGTCACTGCGCGCACGTGCGGCACACCGGTATCTACGGGCCGCGTGCCTTTTTTGGCCTCTGCCGTGGCACGCCATTTCTCTTATCTTGCGTTCGCTACTGCGCAATCACCCTCTATCTCGTTCTTAAACCCGACAGACCCAGAGTAGTCTGAATCGAGTTTCGCGGCACAACACTCGCTTCGCTCGCCATGGGATCCGACATCGAAAAGCTCACAGGAGGGAACTATGAGGATTGGGCTCCGGTGATGGAGGCTTTGCTGGTGGACAAAGACGTTTGGGGTGTGGTGTCCGGAGACGATGTCGAGCCGCTTGGTGGACCGAACTCAAAGCCAGTCAAGATGTACCGCCGCAAGCAGCACCTTGCGAAGGCGAAGATCGTCCTGAATGTGGACAAGTCGCAGCTGCCGCACACGCATTTCGGCACACCAAAGGAGATCTGGGACGAGCTCAAGCGTGTCCATACGCCCCGCGGTATCGGCAGTCTTCTCGCCCTACGCCGCCGCTTTTTCAACATGGTGAAGGCGCCCAACCAATCCATCCAGTCATGGGCCGCCGACATTCGGCACACTGCCTACCTTCTTGAGAAGGCGAAATTCGACATTACGGAGATCGACAAAACTCTTGCCCTTACCCAGGGACTCCCGGAGACATACGCACCACTTATCGTCGCGCTTGACAGCACTCCGGCCGACGAACTCACATTCGAGACTGTCATTGATCGACTGCTCAACGAGGAATCACGTCAAACGCACCCAGTCAAGGCTGAACCCGAGGACGTTGCGATGGCTGTGGTCCCCGCTGGACGCCGCTTCACCGGAGAAGTGAAGAGGAAGGGATCAGGGCTTCAGGGGGTGCAGTGCCATAAGTGCCGGGGCATTGGGCACATGCGCAACGCCTGCCCGTCGCTCGAGGACGACGTTGCCAACGCTGTTGACGAGGACCCCGACACCGCCGCGTGCGCCGACGAAGTCGACTCGCTCTCGGACTCGGACCTTTGGTAGATATATTGTTTTGTTTATTTCGCTTTTTTTTCCTTATATTTTCTTTGATCATTTTTTATTCTTACTTATTGCCAACGATGCTTCGCTCGAGGGGGTGTGTTGAAATGACGAGCTCGATCGTTGCGTCATTTTTTTGTTTATTTGTTTCTTATCAGCCCGTATAGTACAAGTAGTGCCGTGCATGTACTTTTCCCCTTATCCGTTTGCCTCAGAGCTCAGCAGGTCAAACGTGAATTCATTTGCTTTTGTCTACGTCTCACGGCACTAAGCTACCGAAACTACAACAGTGAGTGCTTTCTGGATATCTTCCAGTGCCTCCTTGTGTCCATCCAGTTTTGACGAGTGAATGGGCAAATTGTGAAGTGACGCATGAAGGTCAGGGTCATAGAGATTTCCATGGCCTTCTGCCAACTTCTGAATGACTACAGTGTTTAGCTTGTCGAGCTGCATTGCTTCACTGTGAAGCCCTATGGCAAGTAAGACACCCGCAAGTTTAACGGATCTGTGGAAGCATGTGATAGTATGCATCTATGAAGCATAATCCGAAAATATGCGGAGAAGAGAAATGATCTCGAGAGCATCCATGGCGCAGCTGCTAGAGACATTCAGAACTGTTTATACCTTTCGCAGCACGAAAACGCGACTCTGATTTCTTGAAGACGAGTACGTATATGGCGGCCATGACGGGCTGACTATACCTAAAGCTTACGGTGGCCCAGGATGCTGAAATATTTGATGATTCACTCTGAATCACAGCGTTTGTGCTGCTGACGCATTTGAGGAATTGAATGGGGCGGAAGCCGGTGTCCAGCTGACCTACGAGCGAGAGCCGACTCGGAAGTCGTAGAACATAGCGCTTTGCTCAGCTAGAAGCCACTTTACTTTATTTCCACTCTTCGTAAAACATGACGTTGTTCTTTTGTGCTAAGTGTCCTTACGGTAAGCCTCGGGGTGCATGTACGCGTGAGGCCCAATTATAGAAATGTTTCGAAAGATGGCTTTCCTTTTGCTCGCTCGCTGTCTCCGTGCTCTTCGTAACGTCTCGTGTAATCTATTCTGCCTCTGCTCGAATATCGCGAATGTCGTCCATCTGTCATGCTCGCTTAGCTCGACGAATCACTGGGACGTGACAATCATATGGAGGAGATGGACAAGGGGCGCCCCAACGTGACGCCTCGGGCGGTGTGCGCGTGAGACACCGTGCGGCCTGCAGCGGAGGAACTACCATTCGGTCCTCATATAAACCGGCCCACCGTGTCTCCTGCGCACTCAGAGCCAGACAGCCCACCAACTCGCTCAGCCACAACCTCCTGCATCATGGCGTCGTCCATCCTCGACGCGCTTCCGCACGTCGACGCCCTCTCTATCGCAA